CACATAAAAAAAAAAATAGACTAGAATAGAATAAAAAATAATAAAATAAAATAAAATAAAAATTTTTAGGGGGCTGGAGAGATGGTTCAGCATAAGAGCAGTGGCTGCTCTTGCAACAGACCCAGGTTTGCTTCCCAGCATCCACATGGTGGCTAACAGCCATTTGTAAACTCCAGGTCCACGGGATCTGACGCCCTCTCTGACCTCTGTGTTTATTGCATTACACAGGAGCACTATAACATGCAGGCAATACAGTCATACACATAAAATAAAAAAATAATAAATAAAATATTTAAAATATATTTTTATTGTTTTTTAATTACATGTGTGTGTGTGTCTCTGTATGGCTATGTGCTCATGAGTTCAGGTGTGTGTGGAGAAAAGAGAGCATTGAATTCCTGGCATTCTAGGTGGTTGTGTGCTCCCCCTACCCCCATATGAGTGCTGGGTACTGACTCGGGTCCTCTGCAGTAGTAGTACATGCTCTTAACTGCTGAAACATCTCTCCACCCCAAACCCTTTTTCGTGATTTGTGGCAGATACAGTTCTCCCTTGAAATGGCAATTCCTTTCTTCTTTTATTAAGTTCTCCATTTTATTTGGATAAAAATGTGCTCCTGCCCAGCAGGTGGATCCACAAAAGGGTTAGCACTGTCTGTAAGTTTTTTTTTTTTTTTTTTTTTTTTTTACTTAAGTTTGGTGAGGGGCCCATTTTTGGCAAATGAAAGTCAGAAAGCAATTGGAAGATTGTCTATTTGGATAAAGACAGAGGCCCATGAAAGGCAGAAGTTGTGAAATCATTTTCCGTCAGCCTCTTGCTTCCTGTATGGACACTCCCACACAAAGAAATGAGCTGAGACTGTAGTAGCCATTTGCTGCCATGCTGGAGAACCTGGGAGTGAGGAGAGCCTGTATCCTGGTAACTCTGCTGAGTAGCCTAAGCAACAGTACAAGGTAACCTTTCAAAAGGTTAATCATGGTTAAATCATTCTTACTAGGAACTTTATTCTTCATATCTGAGGAAAGGTTGGAAGTCATGAATGAATGAATGAATGAATGAATGAATGAATGAATGATCATGCTGTCTTTTCTCCCAACTGTCTTCCTGTTTCAAGGGGAGAAAATGAGAGAAAAAATAATGTTCTTTAATCTGGAACAGCTTTGTTGAAGAAAGTCTCAAGTTTGCCAGTGTTTAATCTAGGGCTGAGTGCAGGGATGAGGGAGACTAAAAGCAGGAGGCTTGTACAGCAGGTGTTAGTGGCTACCCCTAGAGGGAGGATGAGATAACTCCCAGGGCTTTCTTAGTGAGAAAAAATTTCATGGGACTTTATTGAACACAGTGAGGATTAAAATTTGAATAATAGTTAGGGGGAGTTTATTTCAAGCAGCTCTATTGTACTTCTCTTTGAATTGTAATTTGCCATTCAAAAGAGGGAAGTAGGTTGGTAAAGTGTGGCATCTTTGCTGTTTAGATTTCTGTCTTAATTATGTTTTCATAAACAAACGACAGGATGCAGGAGCAAAGAATTGGCAGAACAAAATGAAGATAAGGGGAAATCAAAGTAATTTATTAATTTATTTGTCCCTTTAGTAAATACAGAACACTTTATGTGGGGTGGAAATGGGGCACATTATGCAAAGTAGCATAAATAGCTATGAACTTTGCTCCTTTTGTTTCTGTGTCTGTGGAGGCATCTAACCCAACTGGATGGCTTTGGGAACTTCTTCATTCTCTGACTGCATTTGTCTCCCAGTCCTCTTTACTGCCTCTGTCCTGAGGGTTAAGTTCGTAGTGCCCCATTACCTCCACAGCCCCTGCCTGCTTCTCATCCTGTGTAATTTTGGATCTGGAGATTTTTAGCTAGACTGGTAACATCAAGGCCACGGAACAGGAGCTGGATACTATCCCAGGCCTGTGTGTGTCCTGCCAGCCCTTGAGCAGAGCTTGCTTTAGTCTTCTGACTGCCATTTTTCCAACTTCCACCCACTCCGCCTCTGCCCCATCTCTTTGTTGTTCAAACTCTTGCCAGAACACATGTAGAGGGAACATTGCGACTTTCTCA